GACACGCGGCTTTAATCTGAAGTGTAAACAAAAGCGTGGAGTGTACTTCAAAATGTCTGTCGGTTCGGAGTCAGCCAGTATGTTGTGCTTGAAAGGTTTTTCTTTTTTTTTTTTTTGCAGAGATGAATTTTCTCTCATGTATTTTTTTCCTCTTTTACAACAATACATAAAAGGGTGGGGGTGTGGATATCTCCACAAACCCTGAGTGCTGTGTAGTTTTCATACTGCGATGGCAAAAAAAAAAGATATATATTCATGGATAGGATTGTAATTGAATTAGAAAGATATATATATTTTTTTTTAATAAATACAATGCATCATATTGTGTGTATACATAGATTTCTATATACATTCATATCTTGTCAGAGACCCATACAATGCATCAATCGATCTTCAAGAAATGGAAAATAATCACAACCAATAGTACTAATTGTAATATTATATTTGGGTAAGGGGAACACAAGCCTCAATTTTTTTACTAAATTGTATAAATTAGTTTTTAAATGGATACAATATTTTATCATATTGGCTGAATCTGAAAGATCCCCAGCTTTGAATAATGCCCCCAAATCCTGTCCAGTTTGAATTTAACATCTTATCAATATCTGACAACAACATGCTATGTCCATTTTATTAAATATGCATACTTTGATGCTTTGAGCTGATTGGTTGAGCTAGTCTGCTCCTCTCTTTGTTACCTTTCTGTCTGAAAAAGATGATTTTAAGATGTTTAGCGCTTCCATTAACTGAGTAAGTAATCTTTATTCATACAGAGACTTTCTCAGTGACAAAGCACTTTACAATTGCTGTGGACATTTGTCTCCCACGCCACACAGAGATGGGTTGTGCGGTCACCAGTACAGGAGGCGCATGCCAGATCTACTGTACATGTTTTTAGTGGTAGGGGAAACCAGAGCACCAGGAGGAAACTTTTCGCAGACACAGGGAGAACATCCAAACTCCAACTCTCAAATATTTTTGCAATTTACTTGCTGAGAAGCGGGAGTACAATTCACTCAGCCACCATGCCGCCCATTAAAATAACTGCCCCAGCCCGCAATTTTGTTGTTGTTGTTGAAATCTTTAAACTTGAGCACAATACAGCTGCTTCCATCTTATTACCGGCCTTTTTTTGGCATCAGCAGTGTTTCGATGTTTGTGACAAAGCTGTCTAAAACACCTGTTACAATGGAGCTACATATTACGTTCCATTCTAATACTAATTCCATATTTTCCTTGCGTCCATTCACGTGTAATTACAAGTTGTCATCCAGTGTTCGCCGTAATTATTGCCTTCATGCGCACATAGTTTTACCCGAGTCTGTATTCTGAGCACAGCACTTTCTTTCCACATTTGGGAAAAAATAAATAGAGGAGTTTCTTGTTGGAGAGGTGAACAAAGGCCAAGTTGTCAAGATAAAAGAAAGCGAGACGACAGGAACCTTTTTAGTACAGCGGACGTATATTTGTCTTTCCCCAGCGCTCCTCCGTCCACTGCGCACAATAGAGCTACTGCCGCTATCGTTGCTACATGCAAAATATACACCCATGTAATTATTACCTTGTTTTGTCCATTAGGAAATAACAAACATCTATAATCACAGTCAAAAGATTGGGAGGTCAGGAAAATACTTGTAAACACCCACGTTTATTTCATTTTTTTAACCAAACAGTGGGTTGAATACATGGATCTATAATAATAACTGGATAGGGTATTACTAGCTTATAGCTGTCCCACCCATGGGCACAGGGGGCGCCCGTGGTACTGCAAACTAAATTCACGCGGGCTACCCAGAAAAAAGTCCCATAGAACTCAATGTAAATTAAAACAGCTCGACCTCAGCTGACAGAGAACCTACAGTTTCCAGAAATATCGGATTTTGTGGGGATTTTAGTATCCCTTGTCATCCTGAACTTTTTATCTTCTTAAATCCTTCGGTTTTCTTTAAATCCACATTTTACTGCCACAAACTCTGCTCCTTTCCTTCCCGCTCTGACTCCTCTCTGCTGCTGCTCTGATCAGCAGCTCTGATTGGTCAAAGCGCGGCCGTGCCCCTCTGTGCACATGCATGAAAGCCACACACGCGTATTTGGTGCACCGCATCATGGGAGCTCGTCCACTGCGCAGAACCGGGAGGACCAGACGATGCCCAAATATAGGCGAGTTCTGCGAATCTCCCGGTCTCCGTGAAGTCCCATGCGCTGCTGAGCACAAGCCATTTATTTGAATAGGGCGCCATCTTGGATCAACAGGGCTTGGTTGAATATTAAACCAAGACCATGGGAATAACAGTTTGATGGATAGATAGATAGATATATACTTTATTGATCCCCTTAAGAGAAATCCAGGTGTCCAGCAGTTGCGTGTAATGTCAGGAGTTGATGATCTATTTTGTTAATTTAACCATTTGTCATTGTAAATTTCTCCAGTGAGATCAATAAAGTCAATCATATCTTATTCTATTGCTGTGTATGTATGCGTATTAAGAATCACCATAGACATTTCATAATAATGATATTAATACAATACAAGAACAGAAATATTTCAGTTTGGCTTATACTACAACATCGGAAATTACATGTGATCTAAACCCTCAAACCCACAGGGGAATTTAGATAATTGCTCAAAAGTTCATGTATTTCTCGCCAACTGTGAGCCAATGATCTTTTAGAATTATGTATACATCTGTGTTGTTTGTGTGGGTGGATGTGTTTCTGCTTCTACTGGACGCCTGAATTTCTCATACGGGAATCAATTATCTATCTATCTACCTACCTACACTACAACAAATATCAAAATAATAAAGAAACAAATGCTTAAAAACATTTTTTGTGTGTGTGTGTTTTTTATCCGTCTAAAAAAAAGATTTGCCAATGGGACAAGGATAAGATAAGAGATCCTTTATTCGTCCCACAGTGGGGAAATATCAATGTTGCAGCGCACATACAGCACAGCAGGGAGAACACAAAATAAGTAGTAGCTATGTTGCTTAGCTAGCTGTAAATGCAGAAAAATACGAGCAAAAATGTCTTGTTTTAAAAAGATACAAGATTATTCAGAAAATGTCTTAATTGGAATGAGAAATATATTGCAACAACACTTGAAATAGGACAAAGGCAAATCTTGTTCAAAGAGAGTCAGAATGTACTCTTAAAAACTCTTAATTCAAGCATTCATTACCTTATATTTTGTCATCTTTTGCAGTGATAATATTGAGTTTCACTTCAACAACCACAACTTATTCTTGTATAGCCCTAAATCACAACAGCAGTCATCTCAGAGGACTTAACAAAACCATTGAAATCACCAACACAGATCAGAGAATCAACAGTTAAAACACAAAATATACACATATGAATTGGTCCATAGGTAGAGAGCAATGTCCATAGACCATAGACCATAGTCCTTCTAGTTGGACACTAACTGCCCAACAGACCCTCCTGCATAGGCAAGGAAAAACTCACAAAAACAGATGGAGGGGGGCAGGGCAGTCCGCAGATGAAGGTGAGGTCAGGTTCAGAGGTCCCGTTGTTGCGCCATGAAACAGATAATGGGTGAATAGCAATGAACACACTACAGTCGAGCACTTGTGTTTTTTAAGCAATCCTGTCCCTGATGATGGACATGTGGCCCTATTCACTGGAATTTCTGCTATCTTGTCAGCAGAACCCATTAGCTAAGTTGTTTTTTTCCCATACATATTTGCCATTATCTGTGGATGTCGAGCAGTAGGCTGTAGTAGTTCTGTCCCTGGAATAAGCTCCTCTCTGCTAAATGACACAAACATCCGGAGCTTTCTGTGGTTATAGAATGAGTATAATCCACAATAAGTATGCCATGTTGGTGCACTTATAATCAATATTCTATTTTCAAGGCACAAGAACTGAGTGCCAGATTTAAAAGTCTTTGGCTGAGAGAGAGAGCACAGTGCGAATGATATGATCTGTTTTGCGGAGGCCTGGCAGTGATTGAAACGTCTGGGAGCTCTGACGATTGACTGAAGACTCGCAAGAAAGAAGATTATTGATCTGAGCACCTTCCGTTCTTTGTGCACATAAATGTTTTGGAGGTATATTTGTCTTTGCCACCTGGTGTGTGTGTATGTAAAAAGAGCTTTTCTTCTCAGCAATAAAGGTTTTTTCAATGTTTGATTCTCTGCTCTTTGTATAAAAGCAAAGCAACAGGGCTCCTCACTGTTGAAATACGATCACTTTCGGAGCCAATTTGACCGTTTAATTGCTACACACTTTTTTTCCCCAGCAAGTTTTTCAACCGTATCTAATGCTGTTAGATAGATTACAAGACTTTGTGGTATGTTCAACTGTATAATTAGAAGGTCATGCAGTGTAAAACTTACTGCAACCAAGGAAATGACATTCTCATTTACAGCTTGATTCACAGTCTGCTTTACATTTGTCTAATCTCTCAAGCAATTTGCAGAAAATACTGTAATCTCATCAATCTGTCCTTTATATTTTGTTAATACATACAAAGTGGAGAGCCATTTCACACTGATTGACATTCAATAGGCAATGTGGGTGAAGTGTCTTGCCTAAGGACACAACGACAGTTCAGCACTATACAGCGGCAGCCGCTCCACTGTGGCATCTGGTGTTCCCAGAGGTCTCCCATCAAAGTAATACCCAGACCCTGGCCACTTACATTGAGGCTTTTGAGAAAAACGTAGCTATGTAAATGTGTGACATGTAAATTCCTCCTCTGTGAGATAAATAAAGCAATCTTATCTTATCTTATCTTACAATCCGGTGTATTTATAGTCACTGCTGTTCATGAATACTCACTGCTCAATATAAATAAACTCATTTTAAAAAATACATAGGTCAAACCCTGACATGAAAAGTAAAAATGATCTCTTCAAGATCCCAGTTTTTCTAGCGCCCCATCAGCCTCCCGCCCACCGCCGCCATCACTCAGGTCACATAATGGTGGGTCATTTCACACAGGCTCAGATTGTCACAGAGGTGTCTCTTCTCCACAGAGGACACAGCGTTCGAAGCTGGGGTGCGTGTGCAGATCCACAGTCAGGCCGAGCCGCCCTTTGTCCATGAGCTAGGCTTTGGGGTGGCGCCCGGCTTCCAGACCTTCGTGGCCACGCAGGAGCAGCGGGTGAGTGACGAGCCCCTCCCACACACTACCCACATGCTTTTGTCCTGCACATCTGTTCTCCTGTCGCTCTGATGATCACACCCCGACTAAAGTCAAAAAAACAACAAATCCACTCTGTGACAGTCATGCAATCTGGTAATCTTCGGACTTCCCAAATCAGAACGTTCTGGAGGAGCTGGTGATACTGGTGACACACACGTGCAAAAAAAAACAAAAAATATGCTGAAATTTAACTATAACTCTCTTCAATCAGTCAGACGTAAG